TCTCGTGCGAGGCCTTCTCGTGGGCCTTTTTCGCGTTTTGCCACACCACTCAAACCTCCTTGACAAAAATTTCGCAAACCAAACCGACAACTCTAGCCAACTCTCTCTATCATAGGTGGACAGCAAAACGGATACGCCATCCTCCCCCTCAGAAATCACAATAGTTGTTCACAGAGCAGTCCCACCCCCCACATGCACTGACCTTCTCATATGACATGCCGCGGGAGGCACATCCTTCACCATTTTGCACCATTCAACCATCGCCCTAATCGTAATGTGGCCCGTCTCGGCTTCCCAGACGTTCCACGGCTTCGCATCGACCGAATAGTGTAAAATATCCGTCCTCTGCATGCTCTTCTTCCTCACATTCGCATATCGGCCACTACCCGCGATGAGTCCGGGAAGAAGAGGCACATGTTGCATTTTTCGTGCGGCGTGCGGAGCAAAAAACACACGCGCTAATCGCGCGTGTTCCACACACATCCCCGCCCCCGTAAAATCTACTCCATCATTAAACGGTTCCACTTCACTGTTATCCTTTACTGCGCTCCTTGAATGTTCCACAAGTGGTGCGAGAACTCTACATGCAGCCGTATATGATCTGCTTTGCTCGTGACAAGGAAATTTTTCTCTAGCAATGCCGCAAGTCCAGTACTACTCGAGGCGGGCACTTCCTGCTCCACATGTCCAGCATTAATGTGGTACAATTCCACACCGCGACCCCCGGTGGGAGATGACAACCGTCGGGACGGGCGGTTACTACTGTACTAATCGTGCACGCGCCCTCTGAAAGCACAGTAGTACCTCCCGGGCGTACACGTGGCACAACCGTGGCGCCGGTCGTGGCCACGGGCACACGTGTGCGACCCGTCCGGTAAGTAATTAGCAATTAGTGGTTAATGGTACAAATTAGCCAATTTAGTACAGTAGCTGGTATACAGTATGAAACAGCTACTGTAGCGGGACAGGTGTCCTGGCGTCCCACTCAGGGGTTAAGACCGGGGGCACCTGCCCCGTTCCAGTAAACGGGGGCAGACTCGCCTCCCTTCCCTTGACGGCTTTTGCTAACTCCGTCCGGTTTTACCTCTAAGTCTCAGGCTTCTAACCCGTGACCGGCTGTGTGGATATAGCACCTCTACTCAGCTGCGCGTCACCGGCCACGTGTGCCTTCCCTCTTTACGAGTTCTTCCGATCGGTCCGCGCTCGCGTGGGTACCCCGCGTCGCGCGCTCCCTCACACTAATCCCCCCTTGTTTCCGAGTGGTCGGACATGGGTAGTTATACCACAATTAACACTTGCTACTACACTCGCCTCAAAAAACACCTCCACTATGGAGTTATTGGCGGTGTCCTCCACGGTGGGGTCTTCATCAATATATGTCTTCACAATCATATTGTGGATGATAACGCAGACATCGCTGATGAGAATGATCCCTGCGTCGCTCCATTCATGACGTTCTTGTCGGAGGATTTTGAACCGTCCTTGTACGCATCCGAAGACGCGTTCAACATCCTTTCTTCTTCCCTCCTGCCGATTTGTCATGTGACTATGTCTGGCGTTTGACGGTGCATGTATTGGCAAGACCAAAATTGCCCATGTGGGGTAGATTCCATCTCCCAACATATAAAATAGCCAGTGTCTAGGCTCTCCGTTCATGTAAAACCCTTCCGGTAGAGTCATACGACGGTCGCCACCAAGGATATCATTGAATAGGGGACAATTATCTAAAAAAGTAATGTCGTTGTTAGTACCCGCCCGCCCAGAGAACCAATGCCAGCAATAAAGATCTGAATCCACCATAGCTTCGCAACTGATAGTAGACAACTTCCCAGCTTTCGAGTTATGATACTGCCACTTGAACTCTTTGGGACAGTTCTTCCAGTGCAGGTGAATGCAATCTACGCAACCACTGCAACCAATGCAGCCTGGGAACCCCGATGCGGCATATTTACTTCTATTTCCCGTAGTTCTGGTAAAGTTGGTTGTCAGTTGAGAAGCGTGAGCCCATATTTTTGCTTCATTGCCATTAAAAAGGAGCGAAAGTATGTACGCTGTGACTCAACACTTATACGGGCCATGTCGTCCATTTGCTTGAACGAGAAGCCCGTGGCGAGACGACGGAGGGGTGACAGGATTTTCCGATGCGAAGTATGCCCGTGTTTCCCAGCAGCATCTTTCTTCCGACGAAACACCGCATAATCGCTCACTAGTTCATTATGAAGCTGATTATACAGGGGAACGGGAATGCGGAAGATGGAACGAAAGTTGGACGGGGGTCCAAGTAGTCTGTGAACCAAGGGCACAGCCCCCGCTCGATCGTCCTGGAACTGTGCACGCGTCCGACAAAGCGGATACGCACTGTCGCGGTTTGATCCGCGGTGATGGCGTTGAGTAGTGTTTCAATGACGCTTTGCTCATCGTCATCGTCCAATATGTCTGCTATTGTGTCGTCTAGGTCCGAGGAAGACGAAGAACTCATTGCTTGTTATGCTCGGTTTGGTTGCTCACGAAAAACGAGCACAGCACGTCGCCGTTACAGGCCTCGTTCTCATGAGCATACTGCCTCTCTGCGTTGACCAATGAGTGTCAAGATTAGCCTAGCCTACCCTAGCCCATGGTCCAACTGCAGGGCACGTATTTAGCACGTCGATCAATAGACATGCGCCGATTTAGTACAAGTCAAATATTGCCATTTGGTCCTTTAACGCGTCGGTGTACACGTTGTGTACGCGGATGAAGCTGCTACGGGAAATAGCGAGTGACCGCCGAACACTTGGCGTCAACTGAGAATCGCCGCCTCGCTCTGCGCGCCGCTGCCGCGGCTACTTAGGGTCAGTGGCTGGCGCGCTGCTCGCCTCTCCGCCTTTCTCCCCTTATGTCTATTTCTCTCCCACCCTGGCCCGGGGCCCACTCAGGCCCGCCCTCTCCGTTTCGCTTCACTCACATGTCCTTTTCTCTTACTTGGTTGAGTCTTTACTCTATACTCTACTTTTCTAGTCTACCGATAGTGATTGCGTAATTTTACTGCCGGCCCCCCGTCCGATATCTTAGGAGCCGAGTTCGATCGTAAAAGTACCACTATCTTCATACATATTTAACAGGCAGCGATAGACGTGCTCTAAGCCTTTGAGCACTCGTCGCCCATTTGCACTTTTAAGACCTTTACTACTGTACCTTGTCATATATAACCTCTGGGCTGTAATGTATACAGTACGTCGTCGGTCTGTAATGCCCACGTGGGGTTCGTCCGCCTGTAAGGCACACGTGTAGTCGCGCGCCTGTAATGAATCCGCGGCGGCGGGTGCTGTGACAAATTACAAATCTTGGCTGTGATACCACACTCGATGATTCTTTAAAAGGGGCTTGGGAAGTGTTGTTTATGTGTACCCTTCGGTACCTCGATGGGTGTATTTATTGCAGTTTCGCGCACTGTACAACTCCACGACACTTTAACAGTTTCTGAGCAGCTTTCTGTTTTGCGTAATCTCTCATTATTGATGAGCTCTGTCCCGACGCACTGTGGCGTTCGGGGCTTCGTATCCACTTTCTTTTTTTGGCTTGTGGGCGGGAACTGGTGCTGCGGGTGTTTGCCTTCGTCAACATCTGCGTTGCGCACTCTAAATTCCCGCAAGCTGGTCGGTCGGTTGGCGTTCTAAAATAATAGCAGACTCTGTGAGTCTATTCATCACTTTGGGAAACGGAAAGTGCGCGTTGGACTTCTGATCGAGTACAGCGCGTAGTAACGCACGGGTGACTGTTTGCACTCTGTACGCACACACGTTGCCTTGTAATCTGCCGGAACGCGCAAGTGAGGCAGGCAGGCTCCGGACGAATATTTGCAATCGACACGCAGGCCGTGGATCAAAAAAAGAGGTACATTTGGTTTAATATTGGCCCCGGCCGTTGACCCTGGAGTTTGCTCCCAACTCGACGATCTCCTCGGGGTCCTCATCGCACGGTCCTCCACACCGACAGCAGAATAGGTATGCCGGATATGAGCTGGTTGGCGAGCAGGGCGAGGATGACGGCGCCGACGGCTGCGTGGGCCCCGCGCACGGGCACAGCGGCCATCCACGGGACGAGCATGACGTTGACGGAGAGAGCGAGCAGGACGGCGAGGCCGCCCCACAGGTGCGGGCCGGGGAAGAGGCGGCCCGAGCGCGCGTACGTGTTGCCCATGCCGAAGAAGCAGGCTGCCGTGGTCAAGCACACCAGGCCCGCGGAGAGCTTGTGGTGACGGCGGTCCATCGGACGGCCTGACAAAAGTCCCCGCGAGGACGGCCGCGGGTATACGCGCTTGTAACGCACGCGGATCCCCAGAAACGCCGTGTACAGGAAGAGCAGGATTGCGAAGCTCATGAAGAGCGGGTGCAGCAGAGAGGCAGCGCGGGTCGTGTATAGGTCGAGGAGGAGCGACATGGTGCCGCGCGATGGAATGGAGCGGGGATGTGGGAATGTCTGTGAGGGCGGGGCGGAGGAGGCCGCGGGTGAGGTAATATATATATATAGGATTTATGGGTGGTGAAGTCGCAGCGGAGGTTGCGATTTTGTTCGTCATCACGTGCTAGAGGAGTTCCGGCTGGTGCAGTAGAAGATGCTTCTGATTTAATTGTTCATCGCCTGTTTAAGGATTTGCGGTTGGTGAATTCGGTGTACAGTATCACAATGATCAATTATTTCATTCTTCATCTTCTGACAGTGTGATTTTGGAAGCAGAAGTATTTCAGCTGGAGGCTGGAAGCTGCAGAATTTCGGGACTTTGTAAGTACTGTAATGTTTCACCACAAACATGTTACGGATGTGGAGGCAGGCGCACAGCCATGACGGGGCGTGCGCACCCAATCAGGGCGGCGCGGTCGATCTCGTCGGATTCAGATATGAGTGCGCCGCACTAATATCTGACCCAATCAGGGCGGCGCGGTCGATCTTGTCGGATTCAGATATGACTGCGCCGCACTAATATCTGAATCCGACGACGACAACTCAGACCTCTTGAGTTGTCATAGCAAAGACATGCATAGGCATGAGAACAGGGACAAGGACCAGGAAGGGCGCGGGTTTTCTCTTGGAGAACAGGTTGTGTATTGTGTAGAGGAGGGATGAGGAGCAAGGAGTACCATTGTCAAGTGGTCAAAAGGGCGCCTTGAATTTTGGGAGGCCTTGCTCGGTTCGCTCGGTTGGACCCTACTGCGAGTCTGTGGACTACAGAACCTCACGAATGTTGTCACGCAGCCGGTGGACCTGGAGGCGGGGCAAATGGGTAAATTTAATTGGAACGGGAGCAAGAGCAAGGACCTGGAGATGAGGCGTAGATAACGGCTAGACACAGAGCAGCAAATGGAACGGGAGCAAGGGTCTTGACGGATCAAAATGACGCGTCGCCGATATGCAAAAACAAAAAAGAAGTATCATTGGCTGCGAGGGACCTCGTAAAAGAACACTACCAATGAATAGGTCTGCCGAGCCGCCACCATACATATCTCAGAAATTATTCTCTAAAAACAAGACATTCTGAGATGCAGGTACGATACTCTTGATTCATTACCCAATTGCATTGCAAAATGAATCCAAAGGGTCGCCAACGGCAATATACCCAGATATCCAAGCCGTCACATTCGTTAAAACCGAGTCCCACATCTCCCCGCGCAAAGTGCTCATCTGTTGCTTACTCATTGCCCGCCAAAACCTCCCTCGGCCCACACAGCTGCAGCCTGGGCCTCTTGCACCGCAACCTGTCTCTAACGGACTCGCGTCACGCCACGCCACCCCCAAGTCACCATGTCCGCCCCCTTTTCCCAGGGCCGCAACAGCAGGAAGCGCAAGAAGGCCCGCGAGAACCACTCGCCCTCCCCTTCTTCCTCCCAAGAGCGACCCACATCCCAGTCGCACCCAGACACCCGCCGTGAGAACTCCTCCTCGTCGCAAACCATGTCGCCCGCCGTCTCGGGTGAGCCCGGTGGAGAGCGCGCCGGGTGGGACGTGGAGCAGGGCGCCGCTGCTTCCACTGAAGACGAGTATGTATCAGAGGGGCAAGAAGGCAGTGACTTCGCGACGGATGAATCGAGCTCGTCGCACGCGATGGACGCGAACCTCAGCGTGGACGACGAGTCAGACGCCGACGCTTCGTCCTCGGGGATGGCGCCTGCGTACATGGACTTCGACGGCCAGCTGGTGTTCAAGAAGAGCGATAACGGGAGGAAGCGCTCGTTCAAAAGGATCATTTATGAGGCCCTCAGAGGCAGGGCTATGCCGACGAAACCGCTCATCGCCGCCGTGCTGTGGGCGATCTTCGCAGTCGTCATTTCGTGGGTTACGAGAAAGGGGTACCGGCCGCATGAGGACGGTGACTGTAGGTGGTGGTGCTCGCCGCTCGCCGTCGATGGCGAAGCGCTTAGCTACGTGGGCTTTGCTCTGTTTTTGCTCACCACGTTTCGCGTGCAAGAGTACGTTGCTGCATGCGCCGTTTTGACGTCCAGGGCGTGACTTGGTCTCGACCCCGACTTACCAGTTATTTTTTGGGTTTCCGTGTGCAAAGGTCGTACGCGCGGTACATGGAGGCGGTTCGGGTGTGGACGAGCATCGGCGGCACGATCACCTCGTTTGCAAAGTATGTGTGCCAGGCGTTCGAGGCCGGGATGTTCCACCGCGGGGACCGCGAGCGCCTCCTGGGCTTTCTGGCTGCGTTTCCGGTGGCCTTGAAGCGGGAGCTACGTAACGAGCGGGACCTGCGGGAACTCAAGGGCGTGCTGACGACGGAGGATCTGGCTAAACTGCAGAACGCGCCCAGCATGCCCTCGTATTGCTTGTACGTCCTGTCGGGGTACTGCTTGACCGCGAAGAGAAGCGAGAGGGAACTGCCGCAGACGTTTTTGGTGGTATGTATGGAGGACACTCAAATTCAGGCTCACGGATGAATGACGGGAGGTGAATTGTGGACTCTGACGTGTGATTGACTGCGTGTAATACTGCAGCATCTGATCCGGTGGATTGCTGACTTGGCGGGCGCGGCCGACACTTGCAATCAGATCAAGACTATGCCGGCGCCGTACTCTTACATTTCGTAGGTTGCCTTTTTCAAACTCTTCTTTTGTTGTACGGCAGAGCGGGGTCGTCATCTAACAGGGCGAGTTGTATGTTTTGTTCGCGAATCGGGATGTGCACTGTAGCCATTTGAACATGTTTCTCGGCTGTTGGCTATTCTTGTAAGTTTTCAAAGCACTAAGGGTACAATTGTGTCGACGCAGACCGTTGCGTGGCTGGTTGCGATGAAGCGCGGGACGTGGATCTAACTTTAGCGGTTCCTGGGTTTCTGCATGAATGGACAACGAGCAGTTTGCCGTTTGCGCTCGTCGAGTCTACAGGATGGGGCACGATTCTGATCGTGACGTTCATCGCCTACGGGCTACTTGGGGTGGTGCAAAACGCCGCCGAGCTGGAGAATCCCTTCGGGACAGGTAGGTGCATTTCGTTAGATTTGTTGTCTGCAGCCGAACAGCGTCACGGAGCGAGGCGACCCGCAGTTGAATCCCATATCTAACCATCCAGTGACGGCGCGACAACACTTGCAGACTACAACGACCTGCCGCTGGGACGGCTGGCGCGGAACATCCAAGACGCGGTGGCCGACACGTACCGCAACTCGAAGCGGGGGCGGCACCTGATCGTGCACGAGGTGTCCGACGAGGAGCTGAAGGAGCGCGGGGACTATTGGCTGAAGGAGGACAAGAAGGACAAGTAGCGTTGCGGCGGGCCACCGTCCGGGGGGCCGGGCGGGGCGCAGCGGGCGGGGCCGCGGTATCGAGTGCATACACCGCGGCATGCACATGTGCAGAAAGGTCGGGGAATGCCGCCCGTGAGGGCGGGGGGGGGGGGGGGCAGACCCGTGCGCGCGCGTGCCAGGGCGCGCGCTCCCGAGTGGCGGCTTGGTTTTGCGTGCGGCAAGCT